CCTCCGTTAAAGATGCAAAGATCGAGTATCAAGTGGGAGGTTCCATTTAGAGACGAGGTGAAAATTAATGTCGACGCTTCACTTGCTTCGGTGGAACATGGTTGCGGGCTAGGAGGTTTGGGAAGGACATCTGATGGAAATTGCATAGCCTGGTTTTCGACACATTGTCCTCTTTTCATTGATCCTACTTCAGCCGAGGCTATGGCGGCTCTCAAAGCTATGGAATTCGCCCAAAACCACCGGTGGAGTAGAGTAGTTCTCGAATGCGATTCTAGCACTATAGTTGCTGCTATTGCTGGAGAGTTTGGTAGTCGCACGATCTACGGTAATGTTATTGACGACATTAAACGCTTAGCCAGCACGTTTGAAGTGTTCAAGATTCGTCACGTTAAGAGAGAAGCAAACCGCGCAGCCCATGAGATTGCTAGGCTTTCGTCGATAGACTCTTTTATGTCGAACGTTCTTCCTAATTTTATTATTGATATTGTAAAATCTGAGTTTCCTCATTAATGAAATTCACGTCTCCTCAAAAAAAAAAACGTGAGAATATTTTGACGCAAGTGTTTGTTATATTCATATATAGTTAACTACGTCAATCTATTTTCACATATACTTTTGTGATTTATATGTAAGGCGCTTCATAAGATTTAAACTTTCTCGATACATACTATAGAATATAGTACGGTTTGATATCATAATACTATTTATTTTAACTTATGTAAATCAAAATAAAGTATTATTTAATTATATATTTGTATGAAACAAGTATTGAGTAAAAAAAACATATATTTTTATAGCAAATAATATTTTATATATTCAATTAAAAAAAAATATTAAAGCAATGCATAAGAATATTTTTCTCCATTTATTTTAATTTATTGAGGTCAAGAAGGTAATTGAAGTTTTCGATGCATAAAATATAGTTTTAAGGAAATATTTTAGGATTTTGATAGTACTTTAGGCGATTTTGATGTGAATAGAGTAGATACTCGGTAAATTAATACTCGACAAATTAATAATTTTGACAAAATAATAGTTTTTCCTGATCCCGACTCAGAGACAACGTGTTAAATTATTAACTCAATAATTTAATAATTCGCTAAATTAATAGAATTTTCCTAGTCCCGACTATTTTACTTTATAGAGGTTTAACTGTAATATAGTTCATGAGTACAACATGTATTTATCCCAAAAAATATATAATAATGTATTGGTTACATTTAAGATTGTATTTACTATGATCAAGAAACACAAACAAAATTTCAACCCTCCTAAATATGAACCAAATCTTACACAATATATAATTGGAATCAAATCAAAATTTCATTACCTTAAAATATTATATTTTAATATAATTTATTTAGATCACAATTAATTTAGACTAAATACCTTAAAATAGTCATATACATCAATTATGTATATATGTTTTGAAAATTTCCAACATTAGTATGCTATATATAGTTTTTATTTAATATCAAATTAAAAAATAAAAGATGAATTAATATTTTAGAATTCAAATCATTCATTTCATTTGAGTACATTTATAAATGTGGTACTTCTAACTCTTTTTTATGTGCAATGCTGAAATGGCATGCACCAAAGGTTGGAGGATATTTAACTTATCATCATTATTAACTATTTATTAATACCTAAATGTGTAACCCCCTGATAACAAATATTATTTTTTCTCAATTTTATTGTAATGATATGAAATTCTTATTAAATAAACTAGTAATTGTACCCGTGCGATGCACGGGACAACAAATTGCATTGTTTTGATGTTGTAAGAATATAAACAAACGTTTGATGTAACGTATGATCAAAATTCTATTATACTGGAACATCATTAAGTATATATACTACACACAAAAAAAAGGAAATAACTTTACTATTGAATAATTTTCCAAATGAATTGAATCAGCTAATACCAGTAGATTGAAAATTTGAACCAGGAAAAAAAATCATCAACTATGTCTTTCATGTTGAGCTTAAAAGTAATTAGATTTAATAACTTAGTTAACATAATCAAAACTAAACTATCGACAACATAAAAGGCCATCTATACATCTTGCATCGGAACTAAGCCCTTCTCCACTGCCTCATTTTCAGGCTGTTTTGCCACTGGAATTAACAATTGGAAAATTAAAAAACAAAAATAAATATAAACAATAAATTAAATATCGCATACAAACAATAAGTCTTGAAGGTCGACTTCCAATAGCTTGTTGCTCCGCCCATTTTTGGTTAATTCTCTCAAATCATCCATTTCAATAACATGTCCAATAACATATAAAATGAAATAATTGTTATACATAAAATTTGAAACTTTGGTATAAATTAATGAAACACATAATTTAACAAAATGAAATTACCGATAAGCCATGATGGAAAAAGATGTAAACTAATTGCCACACAGTCAATAGGATGAAGAAGATAAAAAACAAAATCTAAAGTCGGGTTACCAATAGAAGAAGCCTTAGGTAGGGAAGAAATAAAATTCAAATGTTGCAGACATTATGTAAAACGATGTCACAAAATTCGCTAGGGATGAAAATCAGATTTATTTACCCTTTTCTGTAAAAATCGAAAATCAGATTATTATAAATAATATCTAGGAGAATTTGATGAAAATCGATAATAATATTTAGGAGATAAAAATTTGATAAAAAAATCAAAAAATAATATTTAAAAGATAAAAATCTGATAAAAATCGAAAATAAAATTTAAAATAATAGTTAGAAGATAAAAATTTGATAAAAATCGAAAATAATATTTCAAATAATGTTAATGAGATAAAAGTTGATAAAATACGAAAATAATAATTAGAATAATATTTAGGAGATAAAATATGATTAAAATCAAAATTATTATTTAAAATAATATTTAGGAGATTAAATTTGATAAAAATCGAAAATAATTTTTAGGAGACAATAATCTGATAAAAAAACAAAATTAATATTTAGGAGATAAAAAAACTAATAAAAACATGATAAAACTCGAAAAAAATATTTAAAATATTATTTAGGAGACATAACTTTGATAAAATTCGAAAATAATATTTAGGAGATAAAAATCTGCTAAAAGTTGAAAATTATATTTAAAATTATAGTTTGGAGATATAAAATTGATAAAATTAAAAAAATATTATTTATAATAATATTTAGGAAATAAAAATTTGATAAAAATAAAAAATAATATTTAGAAGACAAAAATCTGATAAAAATAAAAAATAATATTTAGGGGATACAAATATGATAAAATTCGAAAATAATATTTAAAATAATATTAAGGAGATAAAAATTTGATAAAAATTGAAAAAAAATTACAAATATGACATTAGGGTTTCTTAGGGTTGCCCTAGCGTTTCTTTCTTTTATATATAAGATGTCTAGGAGATAAAAAAAATAATGAAAATCGATAATAATATTTAAAATAATATTTAGGAGATAAAAATTTGATAAAAAATCAAAAAATAATATTTAGGAGATAAAAATCTGGTAAAAATTGAAAATAAAATTTAATAATAGTTAGGAGATAAAAATTTGATAAAAATCGAAAATAATATTTCAAATATTGTTAATGAGATAAAAGTTGATAAAATACGAAAATAATAATTAGAATAATATTTAGGAGATAAAATATGATTAAAATCAAAATTATTATTTAAAATAATATTTAGGAGATTAAATTTGATAAAAATCGAAAATAATTTTTAGGAGACAATAATCTGATAAAAAAAAATTAATATTTAGGAGATAAAAAAACTAATAAAAACATGATAAAACTCGAAAAAAATATTTAAAATATTATTTAGGAGATATAACTTTGATAAAATTCGAAAATAATATTTAGGAGATAAAAATCTGCTAAAAGTTGAAAATTATATTTAAAATTATAGTTTGGAGATATAAAATTGATAAAATTAAAAAAATATTATTTATAATAATATTTAGGAAATAAAAATTTGATAAAAATAAAAAATAATATTTAGAAAACAAAAATCTGATAAAAATAAAAAAATAATATTTAGGGGATACAAATATGATAAAATTCGAAAATAATATTTAAAATAATATTAAG